TTTTTTTTTTTTAAATTTAAATTTAAAGTCGCATATAATCAAGTATATCTACTGGGTGTTCAGTTGTTTCCAAAAATTCCCTTAGATATGAACAAAGTGGTTTGCGTAGAGGTCTTAATGTTTTTGTTAAGTCGTGTGAGAAGTGATTAATTGTACGAGTGAGTTCCAACAGCTCCACTGGCGTATACGGTTGAAGTAAATTTTTATTCGCCGTGTCCAGTGGCGTATTTACGGGGGGGTCCCCGGGTCTGGACCCCCCCCAGAAAAAAATATAATATAATATAATTATTACATCGTAACTCGTATGTGTTTTTTTTTATATTATAAACTTGTAGGTACCTAATATTTAGACCCCCCCCAGAAAAAATTTCAAAATACGCCACTGGCCGTGTCTATATGGTTAAGCATACATCGCGGAATTTCGTCGGGATATAAAGCCGTGTGGCAGTGCTGTTGTACTATTAACGTTGTACGGAACGTGGTCATAAAGTTTCTTCGTTTGTCCCTAAAATAATAATAAAAGAATTTGGTAGGAAAAATTTATAATAAGTAGATAAGTTAAGAAAAATGAATTTGTAATAATTTATTCGGTATCGTCATCGTCGTAATAACGTTTTACGTTATTTTTATGTATACGATACTCGCGATTTCCTTTTTTAATTGTAATATTTTCATTGTCATGTACTAAGAGTACCTCAAAAGGTCCTTGCCAATTTAAGCTAAGTGCATTTTTCTTGTTGTGCTCCTTGATAAGAACTTTGTCACCTACATGTAAATCAATGACATTTAGGGTCCTATCGTAATAATTTTTGTTTGCCTCTTTTTTCTTTATTAAGTTATCTCGAGCGATTTTATGTGCCTCTTGCATAATCCGCTTAAGATCGAATACATAATTTTCGTAATTATATTGTGGTTCGGGATTTTTATTGAAAGCTGATGGAATATTTGGTTTCCTTCCGAATACTAGTTCGTAAGAAGTAAAATCAGTAGAAGTGTGTACTGTTGTATTATAACAAAAAGTAGCGTAACACAATAATCTATCCCAATTACTGTCTTTGTCTACGAAGCTACGTAAATAAGTTTTTAATTTTTATGAGAACGTTCCAGAAAAGCGTTGCTTTGTGGATGCCACGGTGTAGTTTTAGATTTTTTTATGTCCAACAGTTTACACATGCTTTTGAATACATCGGATAAAAAATTAGTTCCACAGTCAGTCAAAATTGACTCTGGTCTACCGTATATACAAACGAAACATTCTACGAACGCCTGAGCTACCGTTTGTGCGTCTGTGGCGGATAACGCTATTGCTAGCTAAAAATGACTTAGTTCGTCTTGTAGAGTTAAGATATACATGTTCCCTGTCAGTGTTTTCGGTAAGGGTCCTACTATATCTAGGCAAACCCTTTCGAATGGTTTAACTACCGTGCAAGTAATTAACATTGGTTGCTTCGTTTTTATTTATTTATTTATTTATTTATAATGATTAACGCCAATCGGCTTTTATACAAAGTAATTGCATACAAAATAATAACAAATTTAAATAACAATATTAAAATAGTAAGACATAATAACAGTATTAAATATAGTAAGACAGCAAAAACCAATAATATGGTGAAACAAAAATAAAGGGCCCAGGCACGAAATTGTCACAAATTATATAAATTGTATACACGCATCAGTCTAGGGAGGGGTGCATTGGCAGCATAGTTGGACCGATCTGTTTGTAGGTAGAACGTGCCCTGGTATCGAGTGTTGCTAGGAACATGGATATTAAGTTTCTCTAATAATCGAGGTGCATCAATTTTCCCATTTAATAGCCCAGAAATAAATCGGTAACTATGTGTCTGACGTCTAACTGATAGTGACTCGAGACATAAAATATCATTTATTGGTTGATAGTCATGGGGTGGATGAGTAATGTTTAGGCAGTACCCAGCATTATTCAAAAACCTGTTCTGCACTCTGTCAAGTCTAAGTATATCACCAACGGTATACGGATCCCAGACAATAGAACCATACTCTAGTACCGAGCGTACTAGCGCACAATAGAGCACTGAGAGACATTTTGGAGAATTGAAACTCGCAGAATGTCGTCTAATAAAACCAAGTATGCGCACAGCTTTGCCTACTATGTGATCAATGTGAGGACGAAAATCTAAAGATGGGACAAAAAGGAAACCTAAGTCAATAATTTTGTCAACACGATCCAGGTGTAGACCATTGAGAGAATAGTCAAACATTATAATATTTCTAGTACGATAGAATGACATAACTTTGCATTTGGTATTATTTAGGGAGAGCCCAACAATGTCGCACCAGATTGTTAGTTTTACCAGAATTCTTTGAAGTATTTGACAGTCTTCCGTGGACGACACTGTGTGGAATATCTTAGCATCATCTGCAAATAACAGGACCCTCGCTGGAGAAATGACCGAGCAAATAGAGTTAATAAATATATTAAATAGCAGGGGGCCCAGATGACTACCTTGGGGAACACCTGATAAAACTTTAAATGATTTAGATTTCATACCAAATAATTTAACAAATTGAACTCGATCAGACAGATAAGATCTCAACCATGTTAGGAGTGGGTCACCAATTCCTAACCGATCCAAGACATATATCAGTGTATTATGATCAATCGAATCGAAAGCTTTTGAGAAGTCTGTGTAAACAACGTCAACTTGCCGCCTAGCTGAAAAAGCATCATGTACAAAAGATACAAAATCAATTGCACTAGTAGATGTTGACCGACCAGGAAAAAATCCGTGTTGGTCAACCGAGATGGTTGACAAGAGTGGACGCTGGATACGCTTCAGAACAATCGATTCAAACATTTTCCCTAAGAATGGTAGACCAGAAATAGGCCGATAGTTAGTGACATCAGTAGGGTCCCCCGATTTTAGAATAGGTGTAACACGGCTACATTTCCAAACGGAGGGGAAGATTCCTTCTGCTAGGGATTTGTTAAATATCGAACAGATCGGCAAAGTGAGATGGTTTCTACAACGATACAAAAAGATGGCTGAAATACCATCAGGTCCGGAACCCCGAGTAGTAGCAAGTGATTCAAGAGCAGCAGACACCTCGTCAGGGGTAATTGTTATTGAGGATGGGAGAAACGAAAATTGCTCTGTAGTTATCAAGTTCAATTGAGAATCAGATATCACCCTAGGTTTAACATAAACCGAGGAAAAATAAGAAGCGAACAGATCTGAAACTTGATCACCGGAGGCACTTATGCTATCGAGATGAACTTTCTCCGGAATATTCTGACTACCTTGAGCCTTACGGGCATAGTCCCAAAACGAGCGTGGATTGTTACACAACTGCTCTTGCATTTTACACGTATAGGCTCTGTACTGCTTTTTTGATTCAAATTTACATTGAGCACGTAAAAGAGAGAAACAACGGTAATTATTAAATCCACCAAATGTTTTAAAAATTTTATGGGCCTGTTTCTTTTTGACCAAAAGATCCTTGAGGTTCTTAGTTACCCAGGGTGGAAAGGATGAGTTACGAAAAGTGAGCAAAGGTACACAGTGATCAATGACATGCAAAAGTGAGTTCTGTAAAAACTTAGCTGACTGCTCTGTCGTTAACGACGATAAATGATGAGCCCAGTTAATATTTCGTAAATCATCGTTTGCCTTAACATAGTTACCATGTTTGAAATCGTGAAAAGAATGACTATTATTAAGGACAGGGATATCTAAGGGACATGTGCAGGATATAGTAAGCGCTGGATGATACATATCACAAGGTAAGAGAGGCTCAGATGATTCCTCAACTTTGACAAATTTGTTATTTGTAAAAACTAAGTCAAGGAAAGAGTTAGATATATTAGGGACATTATTTTTTTGTTCAAAGTGAAGGGCTCCGTATTGATCACCGATCTGACGGACTTTATCAGTAACAGAACCATCATATTCAAGGCCAGAGTCCCTATTAGACCATCTAATATTGGGTAAATTAAAATCACCACATACGATACCAAAATCAAATTGATAGGATTCCCATACATGATCCATTGCATCGCTATGTTTCTCATATCTAGACACATCAGAACAAGGAGGCAAATAAATGCCTGCTAAGAGTGCAGAAGTACCACCCGGGAGGGAAATGCGTACAAATACTTGTTCAACATTAATAACCGGAGAATAAACTATAGTAGGTCTGAACTTAGCATGTACAGCAATTAATGTACCACCCCCACGTAAACTAGAACTAGTATTAATATTCCTATCGCATCTAAAAGTTACATACCCATCAAGCCCCAGCTCAGCATCAGATATTTCTTTGGAAAGCCAGGTTTCGGTTAATATATATACATCGTGTGTGGATAGAACAAAGTTAGTATGAAGGTTAGACAATTTCGTACGTAGGCCACGCACATTTTGGTAATAAATAGACAAAATATTATTTGAAAATTGCGACACAGGTTCACGGTTAAAAAGGTGTTGCCCTGAGGTAACCCTATATTTTAAATTATTAAGATCGGATAGGACCGAATTGAAGGTTGATTTAGCATTACGGCAATAAATACATTTAACATTAAGAAAATTATGATTAAGCATGCAATAAGAAGAAGAAAGTTGACTTAGGGTTGAGGTTGATGATTGGATCCGCTTCCAGGGACCCGGTTTTTTGAATTATCTTGTATAATTTTTGGCACACCATTGACATATCGTATCCGTAGACCAACCTCACCAGATTCAGCCCTGCGGTCAAGTTCGGAATGACAAGACCGAAGTAAACCACGTTCATAGACAGTTTTATCCCTGACAATCCGGAAATTAGTTGGGAACATAGCTCCACCTAGCTTAGCATCAGTGAAGCCGCGTATGAAGTTGATTGGTTCATCTTTGGATTGAAAGATAATTTTCAAAGGGCGAATATGATCTTGACGCACTTTTCCAAGACGGACAAGCTTCATGGTGGATTTAGGAATGATACTGCTATACTGTCCAAGAGTTTTTTCCAAAGCTATTTTATCGTCACTAATTCGTTTTTACGTGCGATTTATTTTTCTGACATAATTCGCAATGTTTAATATAATATTTTACGTCTTTTTTCATGTGACGCCAGTTATAATTAAGTTTTAATCTTTTTACGGTACGTGATACTCCGGAATGTCCACCCAAAGGTGAATTGTGGTGTTCATAAATGATTTGTTGTTTTTCTTCTGACGTTAATTGCTGCCCTACATATATTTTTACTACGATGTCGGTTGCTTTGAAAATGTGTCGAAACATCGTGCGAATACGCGGATAACCGGTTAGTGAGGTAGGTCCGTCTAATTTATTGGTAGAGAATGCATTTATTTTATTCGACATGCAAAATGTTTTTATATCGTTTATAGCTAAGTAAATGACCTCGGCGTTAAGTGGTGTTGTATGAGTTGGCTTTAGACCATAAAATACGAGTAAATTCGGTTCACTGTCGATAGTGTAAAACTTGTTTGTATCCGAAAACTGGATTTTGTTTAAATCTATGTTTTTTATTACTTCACGCACTGCCGGGTTTGTTATAATTTTATCCTCAGGAATCATTATTATTACGTTTTCTCTTTCTATGGCCTTGACTAGGTCATCGTCGACTTCTATAATTTTCGAATTAAATATGGGTTTGCTTTCCGCATCTCGGAACGCGTCGAAGTCGGTGGTCATACTAGTTGGACCGGGTTGTATCATACGAATTCGTGACAGGCAATCTGCGTTCGAGTGTTCGGGTCCGGCCCTGTACGTAATATCATAATCGTAATCGGCTAGTTGTAAGCGCCAGCGCATTAACTGCGATGACGCGTCCTTAATACCAAACAGGTATGTTAACGGTCTGTGATCGGTTATAATATTAAAATGTCGACCATATAAATATGGTCGGAAATATTTCACGGCCCAGACGATGGCTAATAACTCTTTCTGAATAACGCTATAGTTACACTCGGCTTTATTTAATGTTCTACTCGCATAAGCGATAGGCTGATCTTTAGGGACTTCCCCTTGTGATAAGACTGCTCCTATTGCATATTGGCTTGCGTCTGTCATTAAGTTGAACTTTCCCGCTTCCCAGTCCGGATAGACCAGTAATGGTGGGTTCATTAAAGCTTTTTTTAGTTCTTCGAAACTGTGTTCGCAATTATCAGTCCATTCGAATGGTACGTCTTTTTTAAGTAAGTAAGTTAATGGTTTTGCGATTTTCGCAAAGTTATCGACGAAACGTCTATAATAGTTTAGTAATCCCAAAAATGATTTAATATCTTTTGCGTTTTTTGGTCGAGGGTATTCTCTGATACATTTTAATTTGTTTGGGTCCGGGGAAACTCCCGTTTCGTTTATTACGTGTCCTAAGTACAATACTTCTTTCCGTAAGAAAGAACCTTTATTAGGCTGTAATTTGAGTTTGTGTACGCGCAACCGATTGAATACCTGTTCTAATTTCTTTTGGTGGTCCTTTAAACTGGATCCATGTACTACAATATCGTCAAGATATGCAGTGCACATTTCCTCAAGGCCCATAAGTACAGATTTCATTGCGCGTGTGAACGTAGCTGGAGCTGAGCTCAGCCCGAAGGGCATGCGTAAAAATTCGTAGTGACCGGATTTCGTAGAAAAAGCTGTTTTATGTGTGTCAGCCGGGTCTATATGTATTTGATGATAACCGGACGCCAAATCTAATGTACTGAAATATTTGGATGAACCTAGAGATTCTAATATTTCTAGTAAATTTGGGAGGCCATAAGCTTCGTTCTCGGTTACTTCGTTAAGTTTTCTGAAATCTACGCATACACGATATTTGGGTTTCCCTGTCGGATCTAGATTTTTCTTCTTCACTACTACTAGTGGAAAATTAAAAGGTGATTTAGAATCGCGTATAATATTGTTATTTTTCATTTCTTTAATTTGTTTTTCGATTTCATCTTGGTACGCCCAAGGTAAACGATACGGTCGTATATTAATGGGTTTCGTGCAACGCGGCGTGTTTATAGTGTGTGTCACGATTTCCGTGGCGCTTAAATAGTCGCCCGGTAGGTAGAACAGGTCCGCGTAATTACAGCATAGTTCAAGGATACTTTCGCTTTCCTCTTTATTTAAATCGTCGGTCTTAATTTCGCGTTTGATCTGTGTTATACGGTCGGTTTTTTTTTCATCTACGAACGATGCAGTTAATACATTTTCGGTATACGGCTCCCACTCGATATGTTGCGTGGTAAGCTCGTCTATTACAAAAGGTTCTTCCGAAATATTTATTACTTTACTAATAATGTTATTTTTATTGACCGGACTTATGCTGTTCGCGATTATCACGTTTTCGTTTACGTCTTGTTTTTTAATAGTAATATTCTCGTGACTTATATTTTCGTCGTTTTTTATAAGTAGTACACAATTGCTACGCGGCGGTAGTATAATTTCTTTGAAACCAGTTTTTTCGGGTATCGTTAATAAATTTCGGCTATAGTCCATTATGACTTTATTTTGTTTCAAAAAGTTACGCCCGATGATGCCTGACTCGTTTATTGGGAAATCGCCAAAAACGACGTCGAATTTAATAAGCACCTCTACATCGTTAATTTCCATACTGGTTAGAATTGTGCCTACGGTGAATATCGGAATTTCGTTAATGCCTTTAATTGTGCGTTTCGCGGATTCGTTTACCACGACGTGTCCCTCTAACGCGGTTATTTTAATAAGGTTCATTTCCGCGCCGGAATCAACTAATAATTTAATTTTATGAGGTTTGAAATTATCCGATGCACATATTATATGTTCCTCTTCGAAATTAGCTACAACTCTTACATGATTTTGGTTGATTTCGTTTACTGTAAGGCTGGTACTAGGAATTTCACTTTCCTTGTTACTCGTTTTTTTACTCTCGTTATAAATACGCTTCCTACAATCTTTTATATTGTGGTTTGTTTTTTTACAGTACGAGCAGAATCTAACTTGACCTTGATATTCGTGTTTTACTACACTGGTTTTATCGTCACGACTGCTAACGGGATTTCTAAAATTTGTGCTGTATGAGGTACCGGCGTTACTGCGGCACTCGTTTGCATAGTGACCCATTTTGCTGCATTTATTACACTTAATATTTTTTTTATTCGCGTTATTTTTCCCGTAAGTTTTTTCTGAATTAAAACGTCTATTAATGTGTTGGAGGTCTTGTTCCTCCTCAATAGCGATAGTAATGGCTTGCTCGAGAGATGATACAGCGCGTGCTCGTAAAAATGACCTAATTGCTGGTTTCGCCCCGTTAATAAATGCAGTAAGTGCCAATGCTTTATGCGATGAAGCTACAGCTGCGGCTGCTGCTGGTTCTAGTCCTAATGTTAACGCTCCTACCAATTCGTGATAGCATTTTTCGGTTCGACCGGCAAAACTACGTACGTCCTCGTCGGATCGTTGTCGACTATTACTAAGTTGCGATTGCAAGTAATTAATCGAATGCGGTGCCCCAAAAACGTTTCTAAGGTGGTTTTTAAGCTCTGACCAGTTTTCAAATTTTCGGTAACGAGTGGCCTGGTATGCGTCTCCCTTTAATTTAGATAATATATTGTGAAATACTACGGTTACAAGATTTTCATGGATATTTTCCATTACATAATTACATTCGGTTATATATGAGGCTAGTTCTACCTCGGAACCCCCGCTAAAGTTAGGTATGCCGCGCAAGGCGGAGTCAATTCCTAATGTTACGCTCATGACTGTCGTTTGTAAAGTTTGCGGGTTATATTTAACTACTGCCCAACACCTTGGACTCTCAGACATATACTATATAATTGTTTAAAATGACAACTTACAGTGCAAAATTCATTGTATTCTTGTCTGGTCCTAACTGCTTGCGTGCTGACGGCTCTGTGGACTCGTCGTTGATGCTCCGCTTGGCTAGTTGAGTGAAGTTGGAATGTTGATTGAAGTTGATGGCTTGGTTCGGCTTGCTTCCTTCCTAGGTAACAGCAACGTGATTAAACTCGAGGTCCGCTGATGTACTCGACTCCAGGTTGGTTGCTGGAATTCTTCCTTCAGGTGACCCCACACCTGACACCAAAAACGTGTAGTGATCCCTCACTAACGCTTATATTTTGAGTTTTATCGACGTTGATGATTGAGTAGGAGAAAAAGGTTGCAGAGTTACAAGTTACAACGTTTATAATTTAAGTAATTTATTTTAAAGTTAATAATAATATAAGGGTATTACATTTGAATATAGAAATTTGGAGGACAGAGCGAGAAGCGTCTGCCGCGAGAGATTAGTGGTTAATACTAAGTACTTACAAGTATGTACGTCGTACTAGCACTGAACTAATTCTAATTTAGATACAGACGGAGACTCGTATATATACAAAGTCTCCCTAGGTTATTAGGTACATGGTAGAGACTCGGAGGTGGATCAAAGGAATACCGGCGGTATGCAAGGTACCGGCGTAAATGTTAAAAGTTGTCGAATAAACCTTGAGTTGTGAACTGGTTTATTCGGCAATATGTATTATTAGAAATCGTTATGCGATTTTTAAATATGTAAAAAATCCTCAGGGCGTGGTATAGTCGTTGATCAATATATCATATAGTGCAAAGTCCATATGATGTATAATTATAGGAAAGCGACTCTGTCGGTTTACTACAGTACTCAACTGCAGTCGGACGATTGAGAACGGTTAGTCGGACGTCGGCGCACTCCTTTGTCTTAGAACGGCGACAATAACAAGAGTCAAGGCAGGTAACCCATGCGGGAAACGATATCGCACGGCCGATTAATTTATTTATTGTATTGACAAATTAATTATCTTATAGTTTTATATTATTCATTCGAACACGGCATTAAACCTTACACTTTTGGCCATCGTTCTTATTTCATTTTTGCAAATTTTTTTTCATATGGTCATAATAATGCCTTAGGACCATCACTCGAATTTATTGATACACACGCAAACATGGTTTTCAAACATTCCCGCCTTCGACAGAATACCGCCAAAGCTGTAGGCCTTATCACCGACCGTTTATCGTCTATCCACTCGGTATCAGCGGATAACTTCCCGCCTATCACGGACTAAGATATACAGGACTGGACACGACAAGGTTGGAGGGTGTGGGGGGGGTTGACTACGAAATGTTTTACAACAGGCGGTGTTCGGGGGAATATTTTCCTTTTAGCATTACTAGCGCCGTCCTAGTGGATACTTATGGAACTAGAACACATCATACAAATTTCTAGTTCCATAAGTATCCACTAAGACGGCGCTAGTAATGCTAAAAGGAAAATATCCCCCCGAACTCCGCCTGTTGTAAAACATTTCGTAACCACAATATTCATCTCGTGTCCAGTCCTGTATATCTTAGTCCGTGCCGCCTATTATGTGATACGAGAGATATTGGGTCTGACATCATGTCGGTGCGCGGAAACGTTTCCGTGTTTTTCGGAGGACCATGGGGAAACAAAATCCCAATCAGCTGACCGAGTTTCGCTTCTAAATCGCTCTACTACTATAAACGACAAAAACTATTAAACGCAGCCGCCCGACTTGCTAGACACTCAACAAATCACGGCGAATAAA